GCTCATTCACAGCTCCCCAAACGAACCGGACTTTCCAGGCAAACGGACTAGAGTTGGATTAAAGTGGACTAAACAGGGCTGGTGTGAATGCACCCTAATGGGCCTTTTCCACCGCTCCTCTTCAGCACGACTCGGCTCAGCTCGGAACGCTTCCGAGCCCCTTTTCACCATCACTTTTCATGGAACCGGCACGGTTTTTGGTCCCTTCTTCTCAAGGGTACCAAGCGAGCCGAGCCGGCACCAAAACGTGACGTCAGAACACTGTCGGTCACTGATTGGTCAGGGGGCGGAGTCATTAGAGGGGTTTGAGAATTTTCACAACAGTCGATCCGCCATTTGAATTTACCGGTGTTCGAACTCGAGGAGCGACTGGACTTATTTTAAAGAGTTTAAAAACAATTATGACAACACCGTGGCCTAACGCTGAAGTGCAGGCGTGTTGTGTGCTTGGTGGCCGACGACAAAATTCAGAGCGAGTTAGATGGAGCTCCCCGACTGCCCCCGGTCCTCTCCACCGGAGCCCCCTCAGGCCGTGCAGGGCGTCATCTCCCTGGCTCCGAGCTCCACCGGTCACCGCGGAAGATCCTCCGTGGTGCCGACTCAGGGCTCGGCCTCCAGATCCCGGCCTTGCGTGCTCCAAGCGCCGCTGGTCCCCGCCGAGGATCATCGAGCTGCTGACCCGCAGAAGGCCGATGCCCCGACCCCGGCCTCGTGTGCTCATGAAGGCTGAACCCCGATCCCAGCAGACGGGCGACCGGGACGGGTCTGGGACGGAGGGTGGAAACGATTTTTAAAAACATTTCATGCATAAAAAAAATAATGTATTTTTTTTAAATCAGTGAAGATTAAAATAAATAAATAAACAGTGCCAGCTTTATCATGAAATCCTGTTTTCACTTTAATGGTTATTAAATAATCTATTAAAGTTAACTCAGCTAAAAATCATAAAAAGAAATAAAATGATTGGATCTGTCAGGATTATTTCCCTCGAACGTTTAAAGAAGAGATTCAGGCTTTAGTTCAACCCACAGATGTACAAATTACAAAACAAGAACTTTAAAGCAAAGATAAAAATAAAAATACATCCGTGAACAAGAAACAAAACCACAAATATAAACTGAAATATAAAAGTAGACACAATGAGTGCAACTACATCAAATGATGAAGAAAACCTATAAATTTTAAATATAAATGTTTCTGTAGAATCTGGTTCATCAGAGATTTATTGGTGAACTAAAGTTCATTAAAAGTTTATTAACAGGATTTAAATATATTGCTTAATTCGACCATTTTAATAATCTGTACTCTTTTTAATTTACCAGAAACTTCTAAATAAATTCTCACCCTGCACTGAAACCTTCCTCAGTCTTCGGCCTGCCAACCACATCTGTCCCGTAGGTAACCGGCACTGATGTTTCAGGCCTGCTGGAATCTCAAAAGTAGGCCGTAGACTGAGGAAGTCCTCTGGATGGGGGACGAAACATTTCTCACTTAAAGAAACTGGTCCAGATGACAAGATTTAACCTTTTTTGGTTTCATCTTAAAAGAGGCTGGTACGACTGGTACTGAGGAACGTCTCTTAAATGTCAAACTGACCATTGTACGTGCATGCCACGATCCTGTGTTCCACGACCAATTCTGTATTTAGAACTGAGCGAGGAAAACTAAACTAGGAAGGACAACACTAGAGATGGAAGGACACCTTACATCTAGAAACATCAAGGTAAACACCTGGGAACCCACTGATCGGTCTCGCCCTCTCTGGACGTTCAAGGTCAAAGCTGCCATCGAGACCTTCAAACTAAAGCGCAGAGATTACCAGTGAACTCTCATGGACCAGTGTAAAGAACGTTACAACATCTGTCCTCTGCCAGAAACTATGACGCGTCGATCACGAGACACTTTGGATCCAGACTGGGCCAGACCTGGCAACTAAATCCAGACGGATCATCATCACCTTCAACCCCAATGAACTGACAAATACTGAACAAATTTTCTTCAGCAAATATTAAACTTGCAGCATGAAACATAAAAACATAAATATTAAACTTGCAGCATGAAACATAAAAACATAAATATTAAACTTGCAGCATGAAACATAAATATTAAACTTG